CCGGGTCAAATAACTTACAAGGCACAGGTTCAGAATCACAGGAAGCAGGTAAGACCAGAAGGCAACGAAATGACAGCTCAGGGACATTTAAATATCCCGCCCTGCGCTGCCATTGGTGCCCAGTGGGCGGCCGCGGCTTCTACTGCGCATGCGCGAACTCGAACGCCGCGGCCGACCCGGACCTAGTGCCCATGTCCCTGCACAGGGCGGAGCAGTGTGCCTGCGCCGGGACCATCGCGGCAGGGATCGAGGGGATCCCTGACAGTAGTATTCCATTGTTTCTCTTCTCCCTTAGTTTCTCTCTCTCAGCTAATGTGACCCCAGTGCTGACAGAGAGGGGCAGGGAAGGGGCAAGCACAGATGCTGTGCTGGTGCCCAATGTTCTTCTTATCAACTGATGACGTAATTGGTTATGTCGGCGGCGGCTAGAAAGTTGTAATGGTGCACAATGAAAACCTGAGACTTTGTGTAACTAAAAGGCAGGCTTGATCCACCTGCTGGCTTCTATACAATTTGTTGGGCAATTTTCAGGCATTTTGCCAAGGCACCCCTGAAGAAACCTAAAGGCACCCTGGTTGAAAAAGGCTGCCTTATGCTCACCTCCCCCCCTTCTAATAATCCCTGAAATTTGTATAAGAGAACAGTAAGTAACAATTACCCTCAGGGTTTTATAGTTCAACATACTGAGTACAGTGAACAAAACATTCTCCTGTATATTATTTGTTAAAACTTCTTACCCTAGCACAGGGGTAGGCAAAGTATAGTGTGCCAAAAAATGTTTTCAAAGAAATTATGAGTGCCAGACACGTAAAAAATAAGTCAACTTCACACTCTTGATAACAAAAATAAATTTTTATAAAGGAATAAATGTTGAGCTTTGCACCTTCACATCTCAGATCAGCCCAATTTCTGAGGCTTCAGACCTCAGATCAAACCATTTCCTGCTCTATAGACCTCAGATTACCCCAGATTCTGCACCTTCATGCTTTCAGATTAGCCCCAATTCCTGCACCATCACCCCCTCAGAGCAGTCTTAATTCCTGCACCATAACACCTCAGATCATCCCATTTCCTGCACCTTCAAATCTCAGATCAGCCCTAATTCATGCAGCTTCAGATCTCAAACTGAGTTCCTGAACCTTCACACCCAATATCTGCACTTTCAGATCTCAAATAATCCCAATCCCTGCATCTTCACACCTCAGATGACCCCAATCCCTGCACCTTCACATCTCATATCACCCTAAATCCTGCACCTTCATACCTCAGATCAACCTCAATTCCTGCACCATCACACCGCAGATGAGTTCCTGTACATTCATACTTCAGATCCCCCTAATTCTTACACCTTCTCATCTCAGATCAGACCCAAATCCTGCACCATCAGACCTTTGATCAGATCAAAATCCTGCACCTTCACACCTCAGATCTCCCCAATTCCTGCATCTTCAGAGGTGTGTGTGAACGGAGATGGGCAGGATCAGAGGTGGGAGGGAACTAAGGTGGGCAGGATCAGAGGCAGGTGGGAATGGAGATGGGTAGGATCAGAGGTGGGCAGGAATAGAGGTGGGCAAGATCAGAGGTGGGCAGGAATGGAGGTGGGTAAGGTCAGAGGTGGGCAGGATCAGAGGCGGGTGCAGGAATGGAGGTGGGCAGGATCAGAGGCAGGTGCAGGATCAGAGGTGGGTAGGATCAGAGGTGGGCAGGAACAGATGGGCAGGATCAGAGGTGGGTGCGGGAATGGAGGTGGGAAGGGTCAGAGGTGGGAGGGAACAGAGGTGGGCAAGATCAAAGGCAGGTGCAGGAATGGAGTTGGGTAGAATCAGAGGTGGGTGGGAACGAAGGTGGACAGGATCAGAGGTGGGTGGTAACGGAGATGAGTAGGATCAGAGGTGGGCGACAACGGAGGTGAGCAAGATCAGAGGTCGACGGGAATAGAGGTGGGCAAGGTCAGAGGTGGGCAGGATCAGAGACGGGTGCGGGAAAGGAGGTGGGAAGGGTCAGAGGTGGGAGGGAACAGAGGTGGGAAAGATCAAAGGCGGGTGTAGGAATGGAGGTGGGTAGGATCAGAGGTGGGTGGGAACAGAGTTGGGCAGGATCAGAGGTGGACAAGAAAGGAGGTGAGCAAGATCAGAGGTGGACGGAAATGGAGGTGGGCAGGATCAGAGGTGGGCGGGAACAGAGTTGGGCAGGATCAGAGGCGGGTTCGGGAATGGAGGGTGGGAATGAAGGTGGGCAGGATCAGAGGTGGGTGGAAACGGAGATGGGTAGGATCAGAGGTGGGCGAGAACGGAGGTGAGCAGGATCAGAGGTGGGCGGGAACTAAGGTGGGCAGGATCAGAGGAGGGTGGGAACGGAGATGGGTAGGATCAGAGGTGGGAGAGAACAGAGGTGGGAAAGATCAGAGGCGGGCGGGAATGGAGGTGGGCAGGATCAGAGGCGGGCGGGCAGTGGGAAGGATCAGAGGGGCAGGAATGGAGGTGGGCAGGATCAGAGGCGGGCAGGAATGGAGGTGGGCAGGATCAGAGGCGGGCAGGAATGGAGGTGGGAAGGATCAGAGGTGGGAGGTAACAGAGGTGGGCAGGATCAGAGGTGGGCAGGAATGGAGGTGGGCAGGATCAAAGGCGAGCAGGAAAGGAGGCAGGTGGGTAAGAATCAGCAGCGCTACCTCCTGTTTAGCCAGCTTCAACTACCAGCCGGCTTTGCTAATGTCTGGGAGGTGTCCCAGGTTTCCCTTGCGTGCCACCATAAATGTGGCAGCGTGCCATATCTGGCATGTGTGTCGGGGGTTGCCGACACCTGCCCTACCACATGCAAGTTACAACTTTCAGTGCTGCTGGGTCTTGCTGTTTAAGTGCTGCTTCCCTAAAAATCTGGTCTTCACAGAGACAGTCAACAGTGGACAGTGCAGTCTCCAATCAGTCTGCTAGGATGAAGAAGGGGAGTCCCTTGCCATTCTAGGCTATGGGGCTGTGTGTTTCTATTGATGCACACAGTGTTCAGAGACACAACTCTAGTCCCTGCATACAAGGGTGGCTCCCTTAGCCATTTTAAGTGGTCATGGCACCAGTTTAAAGTGGAACATAAAGATGCTGCATACTCAGTAAGTGCTGAGGGTTTAATATCACTTTAAGGTGACACAAGCTATAAAGCAATCGTGATGTGAACACCAAACGTACAGATCAGTCCTGCAGATTCATCCGTTAGCCAGCCAGTGATTCCAGTCTCATGGTAATACCATTGTAGCTATAACTATTGCAGGCACATAGTGCTGAGCTCGTGGGATTAGGAATTTTGTTGGGATTTTTGCTTTAAGTCTTTTGCTGAGCAGTCACTGAGTCTTGCTGCTTCTGCTTGTGCTGCTTCAGCTAATACACCGAAAAACAAAACAAATAGGAAGGTAAAAATAGCATTGCCTTCCATAGCCGCACTGACTGCTGCTCGCTGCTTTTCCTTTATTTAGCATTCCCCTTATTAGGACAACCCCCCCTGTAATATTTTGTGCACATCTTTCTGGGGGTTACATAAAGGTGGGGGGTATAGGGAACAAATCATTTCTACTTAAACTTTCCAAAACAAATTAAATCAAAGCTCACCTCTAGGCAAATTGCTAAATACACCATTGCAATGCATACTGTATGTGGGATCCATATCACCTGCCAAAAGATTTGAATTTCTATCCATCCAGTCCTGAGATTCACACAGCTCTGCCACCTGCCTGGTGACCTAGCGATACAGCTCTACCTCCTGTCTGTGACTGGACATTCTATTCAAGTATGTATTCTTACCCAGGGGCGTCCCTAGGGTTAGTGTCACCTGGTGCGGTAACACTTGGTGTCACCCCTCCGACGATCCCCGAGGATGGATCGGATCTGCGGATTGAGAATAATAGATCGGAGTCCAATCCATTATGCTCCCCAATCCGCAGATCCGATCCATCCTGCGGGGATCATCGGCTTGCAACCTATACGGGGTTAACTGATCTCTCCACGAGCGCCACGAAAAAGGTAAGTTTTAAAGCAAGTCGACGATCCCTACATAATGGATCGGATCTGCGGATTGGGGAGCAGAATGGATTGGACTCTGATAAATTATGCTCAATCCGCAAATCCGATCCATCCTGCAGGGATAGTCGGCTTGCTTTAAAACTTACCTTTTCGTGGAGCGGGTCCGGTGTCACCCTGTGCGATAGGTGTCACCCGGTGCAACGCACACCCCCCCGCACCTTCCTAGGTACACCACTGTTCTTACCCACATGGAAGAAAAATATATTTGAAATATATTTTTAAAATATTCTTAGTCAGTTCCCTCCCAGTGTCAGAATGTCCGCCGCAGTCCTGCTATAAGTCGCTGATCGCCATTACTAGTATTAAAGAAAAAAAAATTCCAGTATATATAGCTTGCCATTTGTAGACACTATAACTTTCATGTAAATCAATTCATTTACACATATTGGGATTTTTTTTTAGCAAAGGCATGGAGCAGAATACATTTTGGCCTCAATTTATGACGAAATTTGATTTTTTTACTTTTTTTTACTGGACATGTTTAATAGCAAAAAGTCAAAAATATAGGTTTTTTTTTCAAAATTGTTGGTCTTTTTTATTTATAGCGCAAAAAATAAAAAACGCACAGGCAATCAAATACCACCAAAGAAAGCTCTATTCGTTGGCAAAAAAGGACGTAAATTTAATTTGGGTGCAGCATTGCATGACCACGCAATTGTCAGTTAAAGTAACACAGCGCCGTATCGCATAAAATGGCCTGGTCAGGAAGGGGGGTAAATCCTTTGGAAGGCAGGTGGTTAAGCAACATGGCTAGGTCATCTCTCCATGATTAACCACCTTCTGCCCGCACTATAGTACAATGACGGGCACAAGGTGGTTCTCTCGTTCTGATAGGACGTCATATGATGTCCTTCCATTCTCACTGCGCATGCGTGGCTCAGGGAGCACGCAGCGCGGCGATCCCTCGGACACAGCGGATCACCGATTACGGAAAGAGCCGAAGATGTCGGCTCGGTCATGTGATCAGCTGTGTCCAATCACAGCTGATCACATGTAAACACGGAAATGCCGCTTATCGGCATTTCTCTCCTCTCGAGCTGTCACGCTGACAGCTCGTGAGGAGAGGAGAGCCAGTAATAGGCTTTCCGCGGAGGGGACATGTACACTGATCATCAGGGCACTAATGATCAGTGTGCCCTGATGATCAGTGTGGCCCCAGAAGTACCACCTGTCAGTGCTCATCAGTGCCAAGTGCCAGTGCCCATCAGTGCCACATCAATGCCACTTATCAGTGCATACCAGTGCACATCAATGCCACATATCAATGCCCAGCTGAGCTGCCTTTCAATGTCACCCATCAGTGCCACCTATCAATGCCAATCAGTGCCACCTATCAGTGCCAGTCAGTGTCGCCTATCAGTGCGCATCAGTGCCAGTCAGTGCCGCCTATCAGTGCCAGTCAGTGCTGCCTATCAGTGCTGCCTATCAGTGCCATATATCAGTGTCATGTATCAGTGCTGCCTTTCAGTGCCCATCAGTGATGCCTGTCAATGCTCATCAGTGCAACCTACCAGTGCCTCCTCATCAGTACCCATCAGTGCCACCTATCAGTGTCCATCAGTGCAGCCTATCAGTGCCCCCATCAGTGCAGCCTCATTAGCGCACATCAGTGAAGGAGAAAAATCACTTATTTACAAAATTGTATAACAAAAACTAAGAAAAAACGTTTTTTTTTTTCAAAAGTTTCAATGGTTTTTGGTTTGTTTAAGAAAAAATAGAAATCCCAGAGGTGATTAAATACCACCAAAAGAAAGCTCTATCTGTCACAAAAAAATGATAAAAATTTTCATATGGGTACAGTGTTGCATGACCACGCAATTGTCATTCAAAGTTTGACAGCGCTGAAAGCTGGAAATTGGCCTGGGCAGGAAGGGTGTACAATTGCCCTGTAGTCTTGTGGTTAATCAGTGAAGGAGCAACAACAGACTGATAGGGTCATCTCTCTGCTCTCTCTTCCTGTCTTGTCTGTTACTGACCCTCCCTTTGAGTGTTGCTGTACATGGACGGTAGAACCTGAACTTAAAGCGGAGGTCCAGTAGGAATTAAAAAAAATAAGTCAGCAGCTACAATTTATTATATTAAATTATAATAAATTATATTGAATATGGTCAAAATTGTAGCATTTCAAATATATGTCAATATATTTGGGAAGAATATTTGTAAAATATATTTCAAATATATTTTTCTTCCATGTGGGAAAAAGGTCTTTATAATGTTTTTTTTAATATCTATATACAAATGTTTTGCCTTTCATTTCTATTTAAACTGAATGGGTTGTTTTACAAGGGTTTGTATATACTTAAGTAAATATATTTTAAAAACCAGCATTACATACTGTTGGAGGACCTACATATAGGGAGGGAAGAGAAGGGGTGATTGGATGCTCAGTAGGCTGAGCCCGGAGTTGGACTACCTGCATTAGTTGGTGTTTTTGGAGTTCAGCTTGAAGTCTTTTTTAAAGCTGCAATCATACCTGAGCTGGGCATCTTTCGTCATTTTTCAGGCTTTTTTTGGTGTTTGTACAGGTGTTTGTGTGCGTTTCAGCTGGTGTCTGAGGTTTTTTTTTTTTCATTTTTTTATTATTTTTAGCCAATGGAAAGTTAGTTACTAGGGAGAAAAAAATGCGCTATGTTGGTTTTTTCTACGCTTTTCTATGCATGTCATTATGCATTTTTTTAGCTGCTCTCAATTAATTCTGTAGGGACCAAAAACACTTCAAGCGTGTAGCTTGAATCTCATGTTCTTTTTTTGAGCTACAAGCTTCCAGCGGCACTATGCTGAGGTATGAACAGTCACAACTGAAAACCATGGGATTTTGGATGTTATTATTATACAGGATTTATTATGTTGAGCATTATGAAGTGTTGAACTACAAATCGCTCAGATGTCAATAGGCCCCTTTCACTCTTCGCGATTTGGGATTGCAGGCAGAATCGCTGCAATTCTGCCGGAGATTCCAAATTACGTGGCAATCACTGCAAAACGCATAATGTGCATTTAGGTGCCGTTATTCTTTAATGGTACCCAAACGTGATCTGATTCTGCTGCGAATGTCATGTAACAGAATCGCACGGCAATCACAGCAAAACACGAGTTTCAAAATTGTGCTGAGCTTGTTGCCCAAAAAGGAGCAGGATCTTCTTCTGGGTGACAAACGTGCTTCCCATTGAAGTGAATGGACTACTGTATCTGTGACACCGCATGAAAATCGCACAATAAAAATTGCGTGTGGAAATGCTTGTTGCTGCTATGCGATATGTGAATGGGATCTAAGAGAGAAAAGCTAACCTTCTGAAAATGCTAGTTGCCAGGCTGTCATAGACCCAGAACCCGTTGGCCCAAACCCAAAGATCCAGACAAGAACTGGAGCATTAGCAAAGTCAGTATAAATGTTCTAGTTCTGATCTGCTTTAGGTCTCTTATGTGCACTGAGGCTCAGCTCCTCTGAACACCTTTTTCTCCTGGCAGGAGAAAAGCTGCTTAACCACTTGAGCTCCTGAGGATTTACCCCCCTTAATGACCAGGCCTCTTTTTGCCACTCAGCGCTGCACTAATTCAGCTGATAATTGCGCGGTCATGCAATGCTGCTTCCAAACTAAATTTACGTCCTTTTTTTCACACAAATAGAACTTTCTTTCGGTGGTATTTTATCACCTCTGCGCTTTTTATTTTTCACGCTATAAACAAAAAAAGACCAAAAATTTTGAAGAAAAACGATATTTTTTACTTTCAGCTATAAAAAAATTTATAGTAAACTTAAAGTTAGTTATAAATTTAGGCCAAAATGTATTCTGCTCCATGTTTTTGGTAAAAAAAAATCCCAATAAGTGTATATTGATTGCTTTGTGTGGAAGTTATAGCGTCTACAAACTATGGTATAGATACTGCAATTTACAACATTTTTTGCTATACAGCGCTGTGCTAGTTTAACGGACAATTGCGCGGTCATGCAATACGGTACATAAATGAAATTTACATCCTTTTTTTCCCACAAATTGAGCTTTCTTTCGGTGGTATTTGATCGCCTGTGCGTTTTTAATTTTTTGTGCTATAAAAAAAAAAGGCTGACAATTTTGAGGAAAAAAAAATATTTTGGACTTTTTGCTATAAAACATGTCCAGTAAAAAAAAATGTAAAAATCAAATTTAGTCATAACTTTCTGCCAAAATGCATTCTGCAACATGTCTTTGCTACAAAAAACCCAATACGTGTAAATTAATTGGTTTACGTGAAAGTTATAGCGTTTACAAATGGTGGGAAAGATAGTGGGATTTTTAGGGTTTTTTTATACTAATAATGGCGGCGATCAGCGGCTTATGGCGGCGATCAGTGACTTATGGCGGCGATCAGCGACTTATGGTGGGACTGCGGGACTGCGGCGGACATTCTGACACTGGTGGGGAACTGACTTGGGGTCACTGACATCCCCAGTGACACCAATACAGTAATCAGTGCAAAAAAAACCACTGACACTGTACTAATGGCACTGGGGAGGAAGGGGTTAACTGTGTGAGGGGAGTGTTTTACTAGGGGGCGGGGGTGTGTACTGCAGGGAACACCGCTGATCGGGAGAGAGAAACTCTTCTGTCCCGATCAGCGTGTCAGGAGCTGTCAGGGAACTGACAGAAAGCACAGCTACTGCAGCTGTGCTCTCTGTCACTGATTGCCGCTAATCGCCGGGACATAGCCAGTAACGACTGGCTGTGACCTGGCGACTGACATCTGCGGCCGTGATCGGCAGGACAGGTAGGGCAGCGGCGCCCTCGTGCGTATGCCCTACCTGTTTTAAAAACACACGTTTTAAAATGTGGTTTTGCCCAGCCGTGCCGCCCTGCTGTCATATTTCTACAGTGGCTGGGCGGCATGTGGTTAAAAATGTGGTAAAACGCGTGTATTGCAGACGCATGTGTGTTAAAGCATCCTGTTGGGCAGAATCTTAATTTATTCTGGCCATTAGAATGTATTAAACTGTCAACCTGTGAACGCGCATAAACTCGCCTAGCGTTTAGGAGTGTTTATGTGCGTTTATGCCCATTCCATTATATTTTTTTCTGCCCAAACGCTCCTCTCCTGAATGCGCTGGTGGTGCCTTTTTTCAGCCTCTAAATCAGGGATGCACAGCCAGTAGTCTGTGGGCCACATGTGGTCCTCAGAGCCCTCTGATGTGGCCCTCCACCTCAAACCAGGGGGGCACACTCCTGAATGCAGGCATTTTGGTGCACTTTCGGAAAGTGTACCACACCTGCAAGGTATAATAGAAGTCTATGGTAAAGCATAGCTAACCTGCAGAAAAGCTACAGTGGCATTGTACTGCACCTGTGTTGTGGGAAAATCGCAGTGCATCAGTGTGAAAGCAGCCTTATAGTGGGCTCAGGACAGTAAGGGCCCATTTACGTTTGTGTATGGGGGGGTGGTAAAACCCCATAGTTGAGACATGTTTTTACTATTATTTCATTTCATTGTGGCCCGTGACTGGTTACCAAATCACTTAAAGGAGAAGTACAGCCAAAGCTCTTTTGGCTATACTTCCCCTGTGGATCACAGGAGTGCAATTCATTCTGAACTCCTGTGACCCGTTTTCAGCGGACAGCGGAAGCCCACTGTCGGCTATCGTCACTTAGCCTGTCCAGGCTGGGGAAAGATCCCGACTTTAAAGTTGGGATCCACACCAGACTCTGGAGCAGCACCTGGCTCGGCCTCTCAGAGATCTGATGAGATCTTGAGCCACCCGCTCCCTCCCCCTCCACAGCCCAGCGCTCCAGTGATCAGGGCCATGGATAAGGGGGTACTACCAGTCCTGCTGTATGGGCCCAGGCCAACAGGGGGGTCCAGGCAGCTGGGCGAATCAGATGTCGGCAGGGAGGGTGATCGGCACAGTGGGGGGGCATTATTGGAATCGATCCTCTGTATGGCTCTCTATGCAGCATCTGAAAGCTGGATTATTTTCCTCTCCCACCCAGTGGTTTTCAGCTGCTGCAGAGAGAGCCATACAGGGGATCGGTTCCAGGAATTCCCCCCCCCCCCCCCCCCCACTCACCACTCCAATCATCCTCCCTGTGCACATTTGATTCACCCAGCTGCCTGGGCCACCCTACTGGCCTGGGCCCCATACAGGAAGCCTGGTGGTACCCCCTTATCCATGGCCCTGATCACTGACCAGCTTCCCTCCTCTCCTTCCAGCTGCAAGCACACAATAGGATCCTTCAGGATGGAGAGTGGGGCAAGAGTCAGATAAATATGTCACATTAACCAGCCCCTTTCTTTCCTGGATGAACACAATGAGTGATCAGTACTGGTCAGTACTGATCACTCACTGTGTTTATTCATAACTGAAGCATAGTAAAACTGTCTTTTTTGGGGTTTTTTTTAAGGGGGCCCTGTCAGGTGGGCTGTATTTCTAACAGCAGCCCTGCCAGTGAGCTTGGGGGTGACTGACTGTCACTGCTACTGACTGT